GATGAATTACTTTAGAGGGGGATGAATTACTATATGGGGGATGAATTACTATGGGGGACAAATTACTATATGGGGGATGAATTACTATGGGGGATGAATTACTATATGGGGGATTAATTACTATGCTTACTGTGGGGGAATATTACTATACTTACTATGGATGACACATACACATCATTCATCTACTCTTGGTCCGGCCCCCGGGTTCAATATATAAACCCATTGCGGCCCTCAAGTCAAAAAGTTTGCCCACCCATGGTCTAGCCTGTAGAGGTCTGTGCGTCCCTACATAGATATGCCACCCCAGACCATCAGTGACCTACCACCAAAACGGTCATGCTGAACAATGTTACAAGCAGCATAACGTTCTCCACGGCTTCTCCAGACCCTTTCACGTCTGTCACATGTTAAGGGTGAACCTGCTATCATTTGTGAAAAGCACAGGGTGCCAATAGCGGACCTGCCAATTCTGGTGTTCAATGGCAAATCCCAATCGAGCTCTCTGGGGCTGGGCAGTGAGTGCACATGGCCCACTAGAGGACGTTCGGCCCTCAGGCCACCCTCATGAAGTCTGTTTTTGCTTGTTTGGTCAGAGACATTCACACCAGGGGCCTGCTGGAGGTCATTTTGTAGGGCTCTGGAAGTGCTCATCCTGATCCTTCTTGCAAAAAGAAGCAGACACCAGTCCTGCTGATGGGTTAAGGACCTTCTACGGTCCTGTCCAGCTCTCCTAGAGTAACTGCCTGTCTCCTCGAATTTCCTCCATGCTCTTGAGACTGCTGGGAGACACAGCAAATCTTCTGGCAATGGCACGTATTGATGTGCCATCATGGAGGAGTTGGACTGCCTGTGCAACCTCTATAGGGTCCAGGTATTGCCTCATGCTACCAGTAGTGACACTGACCCTAGCCAAATGCAAAACTAGTGAAAAACAGTCAGATGAGTATGTCAGTGGCCTCCACCTGTAAAACCATTCCTGTTTTGGGGTCATCTCATTGTTGCCCATCTTGTGCACCTGTTGTTAATTTCATTAACACCAAAAGCAGCTGAAACTGATTAACAACCTCCTCTGCTACTTAACTGACCAGATCAATATCCCAGGACTTAATGCAATACTCTCATTAAAAAGTGTTCCTTTAATTTTTTTGACCAGTGTATATTATGAAAGTGCTAGGTCCTGCCACTGTGGAAAAATAGGAAAAAGTGACACAGGGTTCTCACAGCTGCAGAGTGGGGGTTCCAGAATGTCAATTCTGAGCAGAGAGATAATTTTTAATTTCTGGATTAGGGTCTGGATTCTTTCAAGAGCTTTGGTAGGAAAGAAACCTCCAACCTTGTGTTGAGTGTTACTGGAAACCAACAGACTGAGTGTACAGGTGTGTACACCCTTTATAATCAATGGCATAACAGCAGGTCAGGGCTCCCCCCCCCCTTCCCAGGAGTCCATGAGGCTGCAAGGGACCAGCCAGAGGTGTGTGTTTGCACTGTACCAGTGAAGTCTTTGAGGAAACAGACAGGGCCCTTAAGTCTGAGGGCAAAAATGTGCAGGGAGCTGTGAGAAGTGCAGAGATTGCACATAAGCACTGTGAGGCAGTCTGAGGGATCATACCAGAGGCCAAAGCTTAAGGTATGAGTAGTGGTGCTGAAGAAGCAAGCCAGGAGGCTTAATGACATTTATTTTTGTGTTGTTGGTGGAACCCCCTGTGAGGGCAGCAGTGTATTTTCTTGGACTACATATTCTTTTCAATAAAAAGTGGGCCATCCAGCCCTGAACAGTACTATGGCATGGTCTGAGCTCACTGGAAAACTCACTACACTTGAACCAATACCCCTGCAATATTACAATATACAACCCAAATTCCACAAAAGTTGGGACACTGTGTAAAGTCTACATACAAACCGAATGCAATGATTTGCAAGTCTCATAAACCCATATTTTATTCACAACAGAAAATAGAAAACATATCAATTTTTTAAAATGAGAAAATGTACCATTTTAGGGGAAAAAAATTAGGTGATTTTGAAATTGATGGCAGCAACACATCTCAAAAATGTTACATTACATACTTCGGACACCTGCATTTTGTACATTACATACACCTGATATCTGCACTTTGTATGTTTCATACTTTTGACCCCTGTGCTCTGTACAAGCTTTATATCCCTGCTGCAGTTTTACCACACCCAAATTTCTCCAGGATACAGACTGCCTGCAGGCTAAAAAAAGGGTGGTCAAGCTCAGCCCCTGGCCTTGTGAGGTGGGTGGGCCCTGTCAGGTAGGCTGTATAGGGTCCTATGACTTCCAGCAGTGGCCCTGCCTAAACTACTCACAACATATACAGTAATTTTGTTTAACCTCCCTAGCGGTCTGATTATGTCCATATTTCTGTGCTCAAAGCGGTAAATTTTTTTGCATGGAAATATGTAGTTTTTTTATTGTAGGCCTGTAATTTTTTAGGAATAACTCACTGAAATCTGTCCAAACAAGAGTATAGTAAACATCCCGGGTATGTTAAAATTTGAAACACACGAAATCAAATTATAATTTAATAATCATAAAAAATAATAAATTTAATTCAATAATATAAGCAAACCAAAAACACTGAAATTTGAAATATAGCGCCAAGTTTGCACATCACTAAGCAACGTCGCAAAACGGAACCTGTAAGACGGAGGACATTGCCGGGGACACTGCAGGGAGGACATTGCGGGAGCACAGGACAAGGTAAGTGCAGAAGAGATCCCGGAGCAGCGCTGCAAGGTGTTCCTGAGTGTAGCTCGGGGTTACTGCTTGTGGTGCTGAAACTTTACCCCGAGCTACACTCGGGAATACCGCCAAGGAGGTTAAGACTCCAAGTAAAATCTGCAAATATACCCAATCAAAAAGAATTGTAGCTATGTGGTTTACTCAGCAAAAGCACATACATGCAATGCTATTTGGAGGAATTAGAAATCATTCAACACAGTATAACAGACTTTATGTCCTGTACCAGGCATATTCCTTTACAAATACATTTATTTCTGTTTTGCGTCTACAGGAATATACTGTATAGATGTTTTGATTCTGTAGGAATTTACCTTGTTGGCGCCCACATAACAAGTGTGGCGGCAAAAGAGTCACCACATATATGAATCACTGGTCAGCTGATATTTCTTTGCACAGAGCATGCTTACTGCAAGTTTCCAGTATAGAGACCAAACTGTCAAAGACAGCTCTTGGTCCCCACTATTGATCAGAACTTGGCGGGATCAGCTCCCAATTATGTGAGCACTGTGGCAGCCAATTGCAGTAGTCACATGATCACCCTATGGGCATTTAGAACACTTTAAAAGGATGCCAGAGTAGGCGGCATGGGGTTAAGAATGAGCAAAACTAAAACAAATAATATTCCGTCCAGCCCGTGCCTCATTGGCCTACCTCATCGCAGGCTATCCCCTCTTCAGTCTATCATGAATGCTGCTGCCAGACTCATCCACCTTACTAACCGTTCTGTATCTGCCACCCCTCTCTGCCAATCCCTGCACTGGCTTCACTCACATTGCCCAACGGATAAAATTCAAAACGCCCCAAATGACATCACAGATCTTGTCTCTAAATACTCTCCGCTCCTCGCAAGACCTCCTACTCTCTAGCTCCCTTGTCTCCTCCTCCCATGCTCGTCTCCAGGACTTCTCCAGAGCTTCCCCCATCCTCTGAAACTCTCTACACCAATTTATTAGACTATCACCTACTCTGCTCACTTTTAGGCGATCTCTGAAAACCTATCTCTTCAGGGAAGCCTATCCTGCCCTCAGCTAATACGGGAATCTTCTACTCTTCCAACCAGTCCATCCCCCACAGTTACTACCTTTTGTACCACTAGCCCCTCCCTCCTAGATTGTAGGCTCCTATCCCTCTTGTATTGTTGCTGTATTGTCTCCTGTTATATTGTAAAGCGCTGAGCAAACTGTTGCCACTATATAAATCCTGTATTATAATAATAATAATAATATGAACTCATAGTAACACAATATGTTCAGTTTAAAAGCCCTGAAAGTGAACCTGTGCTCTACCGATGCAGCACAAAGCAGAAAAAACATTGAGTGGTTCACTGAGTCTACCCGATTTTTTTTTTTTTGCTTTTGTTTTTTTTTCTTTAGGGGGGGGGGGTGTTGTGTGTGCATTTTATGTTTTGTTTTTAGGGGTTCTGGGTTTCTTTTTTGTTAACTTTTTTTGTCTGAGTATAGATCTATGTTTGTCCCAAGCATGTTTGAAGCTATTTACTGTTGACTGGCTCACTACCTCTGCTGGAAGTTTATTCCAAGCATCAACTACTCTTTCAGTAAAATAGTACTTTCTGAGATTAGTTTTGAACTTTCCTCCAGTTAGTTTTAAGGTAATGTCCCCATGTTCTTGATTTTGGTTTCATGTTTAAAATACTGCCCTCCTGAACTTTATTCACCTCCTTGATGTATATAAAGGTTTCAATCATGTCTCCCTTTCCCTTCTTTCCTCCAGACTGTACATGTTAAGTTCCTGAAGTTGCTCTTGATATGTTTTATCCCCCAGACCTTTCACCATTTTTGTTACCCATCTCTGGACTTGTTCTATCTTATTAATATCTTTTTGTAAGTGAGGTCTCCAGAACTGGACATAGGATTCTAAATGAGGTCTAACTAAAGATCTATATAGTGGAATCAGAACCTCCTCCCTCCTGTTTGCTCATTTTGTAATCATCTGAAATAAGTTCCCCCCAAGTCTTTTTACTCTAAAGTGCTGACTAACCCTGTACCCCCCAATGTTGGACGTGAAGAGAAATTTCCAGGACATTCTCCCATGCGAGAGTGTTAGGGCTTGGATACTGGCTGCTCACAGACCCAACACTGTCATCCTGCACAGGCAAAGCACACAAACAATTTAGTGAGGGACCCATTTTTCACAAAACATTTAGTGAGGGACCCATAAATGCAGCTTTCAATGCAGCTAATTTAAAATGGAAATCTGTACATAGAGGACCCACCTCCAGGAGATATAGGATGCATTAACCTGTTCATCTCTGAACGTTCCAATGTCGGACATTTGTACTGGCTTGGTGAAGTTTCCTTTGTGCCACCTGCATTTAACATACATAAATACAATTTTAAACAAAATAATATTAATCTGTGGGTAATAAAATCTGTTGTTTTCTAATTGACTTAAAGCAGAACTACGCTGTATCTGAGCACCAGAAACCAAAAGCGCAATGTAATTTATTTTTAATATTCAAAGCAAACTCACCCATCCATGTCTAAATGCTTTATTTTGCTGACAAATCACTTTTCAAAATACCCCTCTTTCATTTCTGTCTGTGGCCATCTTGAGTAAGGGCAGATGAAACCTGTAGCATTTACTTCCTGGAGTCCATCTGTCCTTACTATAGCTCAAGCATGCAGACAGGAGCATGTGCTTAGCTAAGAAAGCCCCTCCTCCCCTCCTGAAGACTCCTGGGATGTATAACATCATTTGCCTAGGCATGGAAACTAGCAAGTAGCTAAAAAGATGTAAAAACTGTTTTAAACAAGTAAATATAATATACTTTCCTATCTATTTACTAATTCTAGCAGCATAAGGATTCAAAATAGTCAATGTTGATTGAGCATATGAAGTTTACTTTAAGCAGCTAAATTAATTTGCTTTATTTTAATCTTTCAAACCATAACAGTACAAAACCTCTTTAGGGCACATGTTCACAGGCATTTGTTTACTTCAAGTGGGTTTTGCATTTCTATAGAAGTCTATGGGAATGCAAAACCTACTTGAAGCACATGAAAATGCAAGCCAGAAGGAGGACAACTGCAGGTCAAATGCATCTGTCAATTTATTATAAATTATCACAGAAGCAACTCAAACTGATATGAAATGGATGCCATCAACACAAAGCCTGCAAGTCCATCAACACAGGCCTTCTGCAAAGAGAACATATGCATTGTTAGCAGAGGCCAGTCTCATTTCAGAGTAGAAGAAAACAGCTATTACCCTTACAAGGGCATGGAAGGGCCAACATACAGTTTTTCCTATCAAGGCTGCAATAATTGCAAGTTTCAATATCTTGAACTTCTTAGCTACTAACGAGCACAGTGATGACAAAGGCACCATTTTAATTGATCTTAATGGACTACACACCTGTACATCTCTGTCAGCTCTTTGTCTGTTTTCCCTTACATCTTCTAATTGTCTCTGTGCCTCTTGTAGTTCTTTGTTCTTTATCTCCATTTCTTGTTGCAGCTCCTGTTTTTCCCTCTGCGCTCTCTCTACAAAATGTGCCTGTTCTTCCTGCATTCTAAGAAGAACTTGCAGTTTGTCTTCTTCTTGCATAAGCAGCCTGCCGGGGGAAAACATACAACAGAAAATATATATGAAAAAGTATAGTCAGACAGCACAATACAGTACTACGAGCAGAAGTACCTTGACTGAAAAAATTCCCCATAACCCTGAAATAATCTGTCCTTCCCTGCTTTTGTGCTTAGATTATAGTCCAGATAATTCACTGGCAGTCACCGTGGTAAGTGTAGTGGGTCTTAAATGCGGGCCCTGACGTGTCCAAGGGGTCTTTATTAGCTTTGTTTTTTGTTTTTGTTATTTATTAGGAGGGGGGTAGACAGCTTTTCAGGCCTTATGTACACATGATGTTCCCTAGATGTTTATCTCTCCTGGCAGCAGAAAAATGCTAAACGTGGCAAAAATGCATCTATACACGGTACCGCACTTACCAGCATTTAGCGCTTTGGACATTTATTCATTTGATTGGCCACAGTATTTTCAATTGACATGAATAAATGCACAAGTGCTAAACGTGGCTAGTGTGTAGATGTGTTTTGCGTTTTTGCCACGTTTAGGGTTTTTTGGCCAAAACTTTCCTCTCCTTAACGCAATTCTTCTGCTTTCAGGAAAAGGAGCGTTTAACTGCCCCTAAACTCTGCTGCTCCTAAACTCTGGTAAAAGCCTATGTGTACATGGACACATAGGCTTTTACTGAGTCGAGTTCAGGGGCTTTAGCAAACAAATGCCAAAAGCTCCTAAACTCATGTTTAGGAGCAGCAGTGTACATGAGGCCTTAATCTTTAGATTTGGATTAATGTTATTTTATCTAATATGTTTTAATTAGGTAGAAATAGGGAAAAGATGGAAGACAAATGCATATTCCTATGCTTTTCCTAACACAATGTTTTATATTAACCTGAAATATAAAAGAGCAAATCTAATTAAAAGGATATCATAAGTATAGTTTTTAATGTAATGCAGTGGCATTGTAAAGCTCAAAGTGAAATTTTGGACTCTGATTTAGAAATCCTTTTTTCCTCCTTTTTGTCATTGCATTGTAACACACATTAGAATAAACATGCTTTGTTTATATAAATGTTAGGTTTACATTAAGATAAAATCCATTTGCAGACTGAAATTAGCACGATGATGGCATTTTTACAGAATTGCGAGTATTAAATTCCAAACTGCATTATGCTCGCTAACATTAGTATCTCACATAAATGTCATATAGGGCACTCAACATATTTTTTGGGGCCTAGGGATTAATCGAGAGAGGGAATTGTGTTTAATCCATTAATTGAATTTACCGGTTTTAAACTTGATTTTTTTTACACTTTCTTTATGAAGCCATCTGAGCCATTAAGAAAAGAAGTGTTGGAGAATTTGGTCAATGACCCTTTATCGAAATTATCTTCTCTTTGCTTTATGTGATCAACATTTATTTTTAAATTATGGGCCGTGATGATGAATTAAATGTTTTACCTATGCATGCTTCTAAGTTAAGCAAGGGAGTTTTTCGATTTACTACCCTGATTCAGTCAATATGGCACTGAGTGGAGGGCAAAAATATTGCAGTGAGCTATGCCTGCTTGGCTACTTTGTCATGTATAGTGCAATATACAAGACTAAGTTGCAGTCTTTGCTGGGAGGTAGGTTTTCTTCCAATGGCAAAGACTTTAAAAATGTTATGCTGTATGGTAGGGGTACATTATATTATTAGGCACAATCTGTTTCTATAACAAGGATAATACAGTGAGAGTGCAAGATTACAAAGAATTATGCTCAGGTTTGCAAGATAAAAAAAGTTGATACAGTATTATATAGTTTTGATGCACATTAGTAGAGTTATTGCACCACACCTTCACAGAAGGTACCACACCTCTGCACGATGGTTAAAACAACTCCAACTCACTATTATTTAAAAATGTAGCACAAAATGTAAGTCACTAAAGTGGTCCCCAGATACTGCAGGAAATGCCCTTTACTAATGGTTCTCTGAAAATCTTTTTGCACAAAATTGTAGGTACTGCACATAGACAAATCCACACTATACTAAAAAAAAAAACAATTCACTCATTACAGTTTATTTCAAGTATTCAGTACAACATAACTAAAATATGCATAGTAACAAATTTTTTAATGTATTTTTCTGTGCTTTCAGTTAATGAAGCGCTAATTTTTTAATGTGTGTAAAATAGGCCCTAAAGGGAAATGGTTAGGCATTATCTGCACCCTAAAGTAATGCAGACTGTACAAGATGCCTAGAACCTTTACTATCCAACTATATTAACCTAGCTTGTTTTGGCACCAAGCCCGAAATCATCTGCCTCTTCTATATTGGCCATAAAGAGTACTGTCAAAGGACAGGGGGAAGGAGTGTGCAGCTCTGGGATATATCTTAGTCCCAAAGTTAGGAAAGTTAAGCCCTTAGTGAAACAGGCACATACCATCCTAAACATTAGTAACACTTGCTGTACCATCCAACCACAGCAGATGTCAGTCTCTTATAGACTTTTACAGGCTGCCGACAGGGGTCTGGACAGTGCACCTGTGCATTCCACTGACCACCTAATCATTGAAGCCTCATGCACCAGGCTTAAGGCTCCATTCCCTTCTGAGCATAGCGGTTTTCAGCGTTTTTAGCGCAATTTTTCGTGCCTATTTTATCGCAATTTCATGCGTTTTTACACAGCGTTTATAGCTGTTTTTTGAGCTTTGGCATTTTTTATTACACAATAGAGAAAAATGGGCCGCCGAGTCCCTAACGACCTATGAGTAATCAGCTGTCAGCGGGGTTCCCCACTGACAGCTGAATGTAAAAAGAAATAAAAAAGCCAGCAATTACAAAATAATACAAAAAAATGATGTGGGGTCCCTCCTCCATCTATACCAAGCCCTTTGGGTCTGGTTGGGATTTTGAGGGAAACCCCCACGGCAAAATAATTTTTTTTTTAAATGGTCTGGGGTACCCCCCAAAATCCATACCAGACCCTTATCCGAGCATGCAGATCACTCGTCCTCCCCCCCTCCTGAACTGTACCAGGTCACATGCCCTCAACATGGGCCTCTTTTCCACAACCCTGGGGTGCGGGGGTTTATCGGAATCTGGAAGCCCCCTTTAATAGGGGGGCCCAAAATCCCTCCCCCTCATGTGATTGAGTATGGGGTACATGGTACCGCTACCCATTCACAAAAAAAAACCTGTAGTGTGAAAAAAGACAACAGACAGTTTTTGACAAGTGCTGGCTTGACAGTTCTTAAATATGTAATGGGCGGGGCCATCACATATGTGACCCTGCCCCCATGTGACATCATTGACTCAGCATGCCCCAGTTGCTGTCACATGGGGGCGGGGGTCACGGGGGTGATGTCACTGGGTTGCCTCACCCCTTACATATTTAAGAACTGTCAAGCCAGCGAAAGAGTCAGATGGTGGGAGCCAGCTTTGGGAGCAGAGCCTTTTCTTTTCCTTTTTTCGGGTGGCGGCAGAAGTGGGCATCGTGATTAACGTTGGATCTACTTCGGGAGACATTCTTTTATTTTCCCTCTTTTAATAAAGGACTTGTCAAAGACTGTCTCCTGTCTTTTTTCACACTACAGTTTTTTTTTGTGAATCGGTAGTGGTACCATGTACCCCATACTCATTCACATAGGGGGGGCCAGGATCTGGGGGTCCCTTTGCGAAAGAGGGGCTTCCAGATACCGATAAGCCCCCTGCCCGCAGACCCCCACAACCACAGCCCAGGGTTGTGAAGAGGCCCTTGTCACAAGGTGCTTTGGGCACACCCCCCCATGTTGCGGGGACCCTACGCCAATGGTTCAGGAGGGGGGGGGGCGCTCACTTTTTGCATTTTAAGTTTTGGTAAGGATGGAGGCGGGGACCCTACGCCATTTTTTTTTTTTTTTTGGCCCTTAAAATCCATACCAGACCCAAGGGCTTGGTATGGATGGGGGGGGGGGGGGGGGCGGGCCCATGCTGTTTTTTAAATTATTTTTGAATTGCCGGCAATTCTTTCATTTAAATTCAGCTGTCAGCGGGGAATCCCGCTGACAGCTGAAACATTAACGCATGGTTTTCATTACTAAAATATCGCATGATTTGATAAAATAACTCATGCTGTATTTTAGTAGCGTTTTTCTTGTGAATTCAAACTTTTTTCTTAAAAATGCTATGCAGTATCCTACCACATACTCGGATGCGGTAAGATACCGCTTACTGAATTGTGCGCAATATCATCTATTGCATCATTTATGCTAAGTAAACATTCCAAAAATGTGCAAATCTGCCCAATTTGAGCTACAAAAGTAGCTACAAAACTTTTTTGAGCTTCAGGGGACTTGGAGTGGAGATGTGAACCATCTCCATAGAGGAATATTGATTTTATTTCCCCCTGAGCATTTTGGAGCTTCAAGTTTTGCACTACAAAACGCTCAGGTGTGAATGCAGCCTTACACCCAGGGCTGATTTACCAAAGCTGGAGAGTGCAAAATGTGGTGCAGCTGTGCATGGTAGTCAAACATTTTCTAATTTCAGCATGTTCAATTAAGCTTAGAGAAAAAAAAAACTGGAAGCTGATTGATTTCTATGCAGAGCTGCACCTGATGTTGCACTTTCCAGTTTTAGTAAATCAACCCTCCCCCCCCCCCCAAGTGTTCATAGGGCCTTAAAATACTTATAATGTTTATATTTACTGAACAGTTTTCAAATAGGACGTAAACTAAGCACTACTTGTATCTAATGTGTGAAACGTGTGATGTAAATTCAGATAAATGATCCTCTCTGTGACAGAAAAGTGATGCTAATGATAATTTACTTTGCTTGTGCATGTCTGTACTCCTCTTCATCTTGACGTGCTTTGATTTCTTGAGCCAAAGCTTCCTGCAAAAACGCTCCTGCAGTTGTTCCAGCTCCTGAATCCTTTGTCTCTGGCGCAAAGCCTCCATCTCCTTCTGCTGCATCTCTGCCTGCATAGAAGCACGTGCCTTGTGGAAAAGTTACATAAAAGTGAGCTTGTAAAAAGCAGTGGGCCTCTTTTATGAAAAAACTGTAAAAAAAAAAGTTTCAAAATATCTGTGCTGCCCAATAGCAACAAACAAGATTCTGCCTTTCATTCTCAAACACAACAAATGAAAAATCTGAGAAATGGGTTTTGTTCCCTATAGACAAGCAGGGGACGTCATCAGACAAGTTCTGCAGTTGCAACATCTGGCTCATATTTGCAAAATCGATATGCTGCTCTTATCCTTGGACATCAACTAGGCTTTTGACACTTTATCCTGGCCTTACCTTATGTCGGTCCTTCACCATTTTGGTTTCGGTCCCTCGTTCTTGCGTTGGATTTCGTCGCTGTATACGTGTCCCCAAGCAAAACTTAAATATTATGGATTCGAGTCTTCAATGTTCCCGATTGGTAGGGGTACTAGACAGGGTTGCCTGCTTTCCCCTATACTTTTCATTTTGGCTTTGGAACCCCTGGCAGAAGCTATTTGTATGCATCCTGATATTAAGGGACTGGATGTTGCTGCCTCTCAGCATAAGTTATCCCTGTTTACTGACGAATCCGAGGATCACTCTGCCAAACCTACTCGCAGTTTTGGATTCCTTCGCTTCTCTTTTGGGCCTTCATGTCAATTCTGACAAATCTACGGCCATGTCTGTAACCCTTTTAACGTCATTGTTGGCGACCCTGAAGCATTCATTCCCTTTTCAATGGCTCCCGGGATTGCCATATTTGGGGATTAAGCTCACCCCGTCTTATGAGGGACTTTATCAGGCTAACGTCCCCTCTGTTTTTAAGGATTTGACAGAGATGTCCTCCTGGACTCATTTTCCGCTTTCATGGTTCGGTAGAATTAATGCGATTCGTATGACTTATCTCCCTATATTATACTGTACGTGTTTCGAGTTTTACCGGTCCCTGTCCCTTCACATATATTGTGCATTCGTCAGCGGAAACTTCTCTTTTATTTGGGGCTCCACTCGACCTAGAATTAACAAACAGATTTTATTTGTCTGTAAGACTGTAGGAGGGTTGTCCGTCCCGAATCTTCATTCTTACTATTTAGCGGCTAATATTGCTCCCCTAGCTCATCTTCATGCATCCCGCAATATTCCCTTGTGGGCTACTGTGGATCTGATGGATTCTCACCCAATACCACTTTTTTCTTTGTAGTGGCTTCCTCCTATTCATTGCCCTTCACCCCTTAGCCTGATGTTGACGCACACACTACGACTTTGGGTTTCTATTAAATATTCTGCTGGTCTCATTTCTCCCCATCTGCCTTTGCTATGTTTGCTCCATAACCCATTATTTCCCCCAGGCCTTGACAATCCCGGACAGTTTACATGGTGGACAGCTCATGGCTTCCACGATGTACATTCTTTGCTTTCTGCCACCCGGATACTCACCTATGAGACTCTGCGTTCTTCCTACGATATCCCATTGTGGGAGCACTTTGGCTACCTTCAAGTCCGTCACTTTATCAATACATTAATACATGCACATTTGGGACCCTATAGGTTGACCCCTTTTTGAAAGTTTTTGCCGGCATAGATCCCATGCCCCAGGCTTGATCTCTCTTGTTTACTCTGCAATTATTTCTTACAGAACGCCCCCCGGTTCGCTCTTTTCATCAGCAATGGCAATCGGAACTCGGGGGGAGTCTGGATCAGCAAGACTGGCAGATCGTGACTCAGGCATTGTCTAAATGTTCGAGGAATGTTATCTTAGAAAATACCTATAAGGTATTTTATAGAGGGTATTACAAACCGCACGTTTGGCCTGTTTTTTCCCCGCATATTCCCCAATTTGCTTCCGGGGTTGTCAGCAAATAGGCACCATGGCCCATATTTGGTGGACATGCCCCAAGGTTTGCAGACTGTGGATTAACGTATGCCCTTCTTCACACTGTTTCACACAAACATTAAGTGTAACCCATACGAAGCATTACTATTTAAGCCATTAGTGGGCCTACTCCGTCCTGAGCAGCAGCTGGCATCACATCTATTTATGGCTACCAAATCGGATGAATTTTATAATGGTTAATGAAAAACTGACGGCTATGTTGTTGGACACTCACCCAAAGTTTCTACAGATGTGGCGCCCCTGGCTTGATATAGTCCAACCGTTTAGATTTGATCAGACCCTTTTGTCAATATGAGACTTTTTTTTGCTGAATCCCCTGAAACCCTTTCTTTTTCTCTTTTTTTTTCTTCTTGTCTTCATTCCTTTCTTTCCCTTCCTCTACTCTGGTCGGTTTGTCGTCATGATATTTGTGCTGATTGTAACCTCTTTTTCTTTTTTATATAAACAAACTGCACTACTGTATCTATCTGTTGGACTTCCTCGGGAGTCCTGGATGTGGAATGCCAGTGTGCCTCCGGTGAGACTCTGTGGTCCACCTTTCCTGCCTTTTGTAGGCGGATCATGTGCTGATCTTTGATCATTGTGTACTAATTCCTTGGTCTCTAATTGCCCACCATTTTTGCAAATTGTGATGCTTTATTTTATCTCTTCATATGCTGCACTTGTGTATTAAGTTTATTCCTTGTCTATACGTATGTGCATTTTTTTTTGTACTATTCATCAGAAAACTTGTAAGTTTTATTTGTTGTTGGTCAGTGCCCTTGTTTCTGACTGTTACTCTAACGTCTATTATATAATAAAATCCATTGTAAAAGAAAAATATGAGAAATGTAGGCTGACTAAGATGCTTTCATTCACAAGACAGTAGGAAATCACAAATATTGGAAAAAATATGGTAGATAATGATTAGAAACACAAGACTTGAAATGTAAAACTTTGTTATAACTCCTTTACAACACAAGTCTATACCACCTCCTTTAGACACAAGTCTATACTACCTTACTACAAGTTTTTTTTACACTGTGCTAGGTTTCATTTAATTTACAGGAATGGAACTATGACTGAAATTTGCAGCAATATGCACATATTGCACTTTTGTGCTTTTTTTTTTTTTAATTTTCAGCTAAGAGATCATAAAAAGCTGAACTCTAATTCCTTATTGATCAGTGAAGTTTAATGCAAATGTGTCGTAGACTGCAAATGTGTCACAGACTATATTCTCTTTTCCTCAAGTTATGGTAGCCATAACCCTATGTATTAAAATAATTTAGATTTAGGCATCATTTGAGATGACCGTGTCTTTACTATGTACCACCCTCCTAGGTAGGTGCTAGGATTTGTATAGTTAGGATAGTATAGCTGTGTTTCTCTGCTTATCAGAGAGGCTGTCATGAAAATCTAATTGGGCTCTCTGCTTAACAGAGAGTTGACATGAATTAGTAAGGTCTGCTCATGATGCTCTGGTGCTGTTTGTTTTGAGTTCCCCCCACCTTCTGAAAGCAACTGGAGCCTTCCAGAACCTGGGTGGGAGCTAGGCATATGAACAGCATGAATATGGATGCAGCCCTAGCCAACTGCAGGGGAGGGTGGCCCTTTTGCATGCTAGGAGTGGTATTTATGTTCTGTGAGCACAAGGGCTCTGGGTCTTTCCCTGGAGACGATTGCACCAGGCCTCACCTCACCTGGCACTTGCTGCTATGCGGCCTCAGGTGAATGACCTGAGGGCGTAGAACTAGAAAGAACAACCCTGGTTTGCTGACTGAGGGGAGCTATCTGCAAGGGATCTGTCTGGTATCACTGAAGGGTGTCACTGGGAAGATTGGAAGGAGGCTACCATTTTGTCCTTCCTGAGAGATCTTGGGAACTCTATATGCTTGCTACCCTTCTGGTGCTTGATAGTCAGCGTGGGTCTGAGAAAAGGGAACACTGGCTAGTGTTCTGAAGAGCTTGTCCAATTGTCGCTACTGCTAAGGGACTTTGTGCAACTCTAACCTGCTTGTTGCTATAGTTGAAAAGGAAGTCTGCTATCTGCTTTCACCAAGGACTTCAACCGTGCCTAACTAAGAGATCAGCTAGATGTCCTCTGATGTGACTAGTTCTAATCTTGGAGTATCCTACTAAAGTTCCCAATCCCTATCCCCAGTTCTACAATAAAACTCCAAAAACAACATCCCCTAGACTGGTCATTGAAGACAGCGAGCAAAAGTGTGTGTGTGTGCAACTAGTAATAGAAAATACCTTGTGCCTGACTGCGGGGCGAAGCAAGGGGAGACCCCGGGCAAAAATACAAGCAGCTCCTGCGGGGTTAGCGCTACAATTAGGGAGAAGTAAAGTGTGCTGATCACCAGTGGTGCTCACTATTGCCTATAAACGTTTCCTAACTTGTGTGAAAATCTTTTTAATGAGCAGAGAAACTACTTCTCTATTCTATTAACACACACTGAATGCCAGTCAGACATAAGACTGTAGTAGGGTCTTGCTGTTGCAGAAAGATTTGAGGAGTGGTAGATGTTTCAAAGACAGATTTTTATCAATATCCACTTCTCTCACTCACCTCCTCTGCCTCTTTTAACTTTCCTGCCAGTAGTCGCTGCATCTCTTCTTGCTGTTCTCTTTGCCTGTGCTGTTCTTGTATCATGGCTTCTTCTGCCTTTTTTTTGTGCCTCTCTCAGCTGCTCCAATTCCTTTTGCTGTCTTTCTCTTTCACTCTGAAGTTCTGCCAGTCTCTGCAACTCCTGCTCTCGTGCAAGTCTGCGCTGTTCCCGTTGCTCTCTCTGTTCCCTTCGCCTACTTTGCAGCTCACGGTGTAACGAGACAGAGCTGGACTGCTGGAGTCGGATAGCTGTCTGGATAGCTGCAATAGTAAAGACATAAATGGTATTGCTCACAGCATCAGTCAGAAAAGCTACTGCTGTATTGACGCAAATTGATTAACCATTTCAAACTCCTAACTGTCCTGTTTAAGGGCAGAACCTACATGGTGCCTGCTGTTATTATATTAGCCAGAAAGCCCTTTGCTGTGTGCACTTTTGAAACTGGTTTCACATTGCCATTAAGGGTCTCACTTAACTGATTTCAGGACTAAACCGCACCCACCATCTCCCTTTCCATTGAAAGAACCCTGACTGCACACTGAGGTTCTTTCATCAAACAGAGGTATTGCATTAGTAAATATACTGATCCATGGGCCACCACTTTTAACACCTCTTCCTCAGAGGTGTGCTGTAAAGGGTGGAGAGTGTCCTCCGCTTGACTGACACGGGCCTCAGTCTCAGTGACCCGGTCATGGAGCTTCTGCATGTCTTGTTGTATGAGAGAGATATCTAACTTCACCTCCTCTATTTTCGTTGTTAGTGTCGCCTGACACGAGGATATTGCCTCAAGAACTCTTGCTGTGTCAGTGGCAGTAGAGCCCTTCCTCCAGAGGGCCCCACTCCTGTGTGCAAAATTTGTCCAAGGAAGGTGTAACAGAGGCAGTCTTCTGAGGGGGAGACATGTTAGAAGATGAATAGAAGGTTCCGGGTAAGCAGTGTCAGTTGCAACAGCTCGCCCAAAAACAAGATAAGCTGGAGAACTGGTCTCGATGATCTAACCTCCACTTTATTGGCCTCCCAGACAGCTCAAAGGGCCGTGACCCGCTATGTTCTTGGAAAACCTGCTCATTACTACTTCTGGCAGGGAGGCCTTCTCGTCCACCCTGGTAGTGGAACGAGTGCATCACATGCCACCCTGCCAGCCCCTCCTCGAACCTTCATTGCAAAACGACTCAATTTTAGGGATCGAGACACTGTACTATGGCTGACTAGAGAGAGAGGCAGCATCTCCTACCAGAATGTTAAAATATTGGTGTTCCCTGACTTCTCGGCTGAGATTCAACGTCAACAATCCCGCTTCATGGATGTCAAACGGCGCCTCCGACCTAAACACTTGAAGTATGCCATGGTTTTCCCTGCCCGCCTTTGGGTGGTGGGTGAGGATCGGGTGCACTTTTTCGAGGACCCGGAGACAGCCTCATCCTGGCTCCACCAACATGATGAACATCACAGTCACCCCGCTTGACCCCGTTACCATCTTACGGAGTTCGTGAGACCCTCCTGTTTTGAATTTGGATGTTAAATCTCTCTCGGGTCCCCATCTTTTCTTTTTTCCCAGTGACTCCTATGGCTCAACACATCATCGAGGACCTCACTATGCTCCTTTCCTTCTACCCTCCCCTATCATTTTTCTTCCCTCACTTTGGCCCCCCTATCACTGTCCCCATCCTGCTCCATTGATACTAACACCCCCCCACTTTTTGCCCCCCTCCATGTTCCTCTTATTCCCACCTCAAGCTACCTGAGATTGGAGGACAGACGGGATATTCTCTTTCTTCATAAGGGGGGCCTACTACTCTGGATTCTGCACCATTGAGCGGACGCTCTCACATCTAACCAGCTTTCCAACGGCCTGCCTCAAGTTGACATTTGTACCTTGTGTTCTGCTGCCCACACATCTCTCCAGTGAGAGTTTGTCCCCTCATGACTGTGCTAGCTTCTTATGGGATTGATGCCCCCACCAAGTCTGGGAGTGGGGGTTGCGGAAACGTTTAGGTTTGTTCTCACATTTGTTATAGTTTGCATTTATCAGAACTGTTGGTACAATGTAACATGTTTCATAATTGCACTATATTCAGGATGCTCCTCAAAGTCTCAGCCAAGGGGGTTCTGCTACCTGTTGCCTGCGGATCCATGATACACAACACCTTATGGCTCCGGTGAAGTTTCTCACTTGGAATGTCCGCGGGATCCATGATAAACTCGAATGGTCAACCATGTTCAACTGCCTTAAAACTCATCAGGCAGACATAGTAGTGATGGTCAAAATGCATGTCAGAGGCCAACTTCAGATGGCCTTAAAACGACCATGGATAGGCTGGGCATACCACATACCATGCCACACACACTCAGTATCCTTGTGGTGTGTCTGTGCTGGTGACTAAAACGGTATACTTTGAATTGATTTCCCTTAGCATTGATCCCCTTAGCAGATACATTTTTATGCATGTGACCTTGCATTGGTGCCCCTATTTAATCCTGGCTTATTATATTCCACATAATAAGTATAACTCCGCGGTGGTTGGTGAGGGTTTTCTTTTCTTGGCTGAACACCCACCGGTACCTGCAATATGGCTTGGTGACTTCAGTATGGTTTTGCATTCCACTCTGGACCGACTGCACTCCTCGACAGACCCCCCTACCCTGACAACGACCAGACTTAGCCATTTGTTTACTGACTTTGCTCTGACAGACACCTGTTGTTATAGATACCCCTCACACGCATGCGTTCTTTTGTTTTTTTTTCGGGCGAAGTCACTCCACCATGTCCCATATAGATCTCATACTGGTGTCCGCAATTTTGCTACCTCTATTGAAAGATGCAGGATTCCACCCAAGAATATTATCTGACCATGCCCCTTGCTGGACCACTCTTCATTGCACCCTTTTTGGTTATCTGCCCTAACAGACCATGAGGATATCCAACAGGAATGGCAATATTACTTTAATGCCAATCACAACACGGCGTTGGTGGGATCGGTGCGGGACTCATTTAAATTACATGCTCGTATGGTGCTTTCAACATGCATTAATAGACTGAAAGGCTCTTCTAACCTCACTCTGCGACAGGCAATCGACTGTTTGACTTCCTTGACTAATACTTTCCAGACTTATCCCTCCCCTTCCAACTCTGCTGCATTGAGCTCTCACACTCGTCTAGTTGAACAGCTACACTTTGTAAAAGCCAAGGGGGAATGAGCTGGTAAACTGTTAGCCTACTTTGCTCATCAGAACTCGAGACCACAAGTGGTCGTTACACTCACAGACCCTGTCAGAACCCATATCACTGACCCAAAGCTGACCGTGCAGAATTCTGTAGGTACTATACTTCTTTATACTCCTCTCAGGTGACGGTTACAACTCAGGAAACCTGTTTATTTCTGCAAAATATAACTCTCCCACGGTTGTCTGTTTTCCAGAAGAATGACCTTAAGGCCCCTATTTCTGCATAGGAGATTGCCATGGCTATCGCCACCTTAGCCCCAGCGAAGTCTCCTGGCCGAGATGGGCTTCCCCTGAAATTCTATTCTATCTACTCGGAGGTTCTGGTTCCCGGAACTACAGCACCTCTACAAAAGTATTTTCACAGAGGGTGCTCTGCCGGATTCTATGCATGAAGCTCTAATAATAGTGATCCCTAAACCTGGCAAGGACCCCTCCCATCTAGAATCATATTTCCCTTTTACAGGTAGATATTAAGATCTTGGCTAAAATTTTGGCTTTACGTCTCAACCAGGTTATCCTATCTTTAATACATCCTGACCAAACAGGATTTATGGGAAAAAAAAACGCTATGAATATTCGTTGTTTATATATGAATATACAAGCCTCCCATGATGAAGTCGGTACTAGGGCAGTGGTAACACTGGATGCTGCGAAAGCATTCAACTCAGTGGAGTGGCGTTGTTTCTGAGAGTGTCTGGAGGGCTTTGGATTTGGGCCCAATTTCATTAAATGGGTGCAATTGCTGTATTACTCCCCTATTGCCAGGGTGGCCATCAAAGGGTGGATATCAGACACCTTTCCCTTGGGCCGAGGGACCCGTCAGGGTTGCCCTCTGTCCCCTTTGTTGTACGCGCTTGCAGTGGAACCCCTGGTCACTTTGCTCAGACGTCATCCTGATATTAGGGGCCTCTGGGTAGGCTCCTTGGTGGAATCAGTTAGAATGTATGAGGATGATATGCTTCTTTACCTGGCTGACACAGGCCCCTCTCTAAGCACCGCTTTACAGATCATTGAGGAGTTTGGAATACACTCTGGGCTATGTGTCAACTGCAGTAAGTCGCTGATCCTTCCCCTAGATGCATGTCCTCCCCCATACATTTCTGGTACCCTGCCCTTATGCAGAGTCTCTACAATTCAATATCTGGGGGTATACAGTATCTCACAGAAGTGAGTACACCCCTAACATTTTTGTAAATATTTTATTATATCTTTTCATGTGAAACATTGAAGAAATTACACTTTGCTACAATGTAAAGTAGTGAGTGTACAGCTTGTATAACAGTGTAAATTCTCTCTCATACTTGTCACTGGAAGTTCAGCATGGCAACTCATGGCAAGGAAGTCTCTGAGATCTGAAAAAAAGAATTGTTGCTCTACATAAAGATGTCCTAGGCTAGGGCTTGAAAAACCACTCGCCAATTACGACGAGAAATTCTTGTGTGGCGAGTGGCGAACACAGATGATGGAGCGGCTGCACCTGCGCTCCAAGCCTCATTGTGAAGCTGAGTTCCGGTGTCCAACTTCCGGTGTCCGGCTTCTATGGCACCGCCATTACACTGGCAGCACCGCTGAGGGGACAGGTGCAGGAGAGGTCCACTCTCCTCCGCTGAGAGGAGACACCCTCTCCACCGCCGCAGGGGACTCGAGGAGAGGTTTGCTCTCCCCCACCGCGGGAGACACGAGGAGAGGCCCGCTCTCCACCGCCTTGGGGGACATGAGGGTATTACACAAGTCTTGGTCCTGCTGTACAACAAAAACCATTGCAAATATTGATGTGAAACTTGCTTCCTACTGCTTTTTGTCATCCAAAAAAGGATTTTTTTTTTTGGTGTTTTTTTTTCTTAATTGAATAGAATGCAATCTACACACAGCTATTGAAGTGGTATTTTGCATCATTTTGCGGTTGGGGGCAGGGTTGAGCCGGGGGTGGGGTTGGAGGCAGACCTGGGCAAGGTTGGGTGGGGCAACTGATGGAGAGTAAGGTTTGTGCCTGGCTAGTAGATCTAGACTCAAAATTTTAAGCCCTCGCTTAGGCTATAAGAAGATTGCCATGAAAACCCTGAAACTAAGCTGCAGCACGGTGGCCAAGACCATACAGCGGTTTAACAGGACAGGTTCCACTCAGAACAAGCCTCGCCATGGTTGACCAAAGACATTGAGTGCACGTGCTCAGTGTCATATCCAGAGTTCAGGTGGTGTCAAGCGTGTGTGGTGGCAACCAGGTAAGGAGTACAAAGACAAATGTGTCTTGCCTGGTGGTGGGAGTGTCATGGTCTGGGGCTGCATGAGTGCTGCCGCCATCGGGGAGCTACAGTTCATTGAGGGAATTATGAATGTCAACATGTACTGTAACATACTAAAGCAGAGCATGATCCCCTCCCTTCGGAGACTGGGCCGTAGGGCACTATTCCAACATGATAACGACCCCAAACACAACTCCAGGACGACCACTGCCTTTCTAAAGAAGCTGAGGGTAAAGGTGATGGACTGGCTAAGCATGTCTCCAGACCTAAATCCTATTGTGCATCTGTTGGGCATGCTTAAATGGAAGGTGGAGGAACGCAAGGTCTCTAAAATCCACTAGCTCCGTTATGTCGTCATGGAGGAGAAGGAGGACTCCAGTGGCAACCTGTGAAGCTCTGGTGAACTCCATGCCCAAGAAGGTTAAGGCAGTGCTGGAAAAAAAAGGTGGCCACAGAAAATATTGACACTTTGGGCCCAATTTGGACATTTTCACTTAGGGGTGTACTCACTTTTGTTGCTAGCGGTTTAGACATAATGGCTGTGTGTTGAGTTATTTTGAGGGGACAGCAATTTACACTGTACACTCACTACTTTACATTATAGTAAAGTGTAATTTCTTCAGTGTTGTCACATGAAAAGATAAAATGTTTACAAAAATGTGAGGGGTGTACTCACTTCTGTGAAATACTGTATGTTTACTAGAGAGCTCCGAGACTACCCAACGCTTAATATCGAACCACTATTTACCATCCTCAAGGCACGCATCCAATCGTGGGCAAGGCTCTCTCTGGGGGTAATGGGAAGAATTAACCTAGTTAAAATGATCCTCCTGCCTAAAATCCTTTACATATTCTGGCACTCCCTGATACTGCTACCCCTAAGAACCTTCAAAACACTTAAAGGAATTCTTAGTTCATTCATTTGGGGATCGGGTAGACACAAGCTCTCCTGGCTCGTTCTCAAGAACCCTACTACGATGGGGGGAGTGGCCCTCCCAGATTTTCACTCCTACTACCTGGCAGCACAGCTCTCCCATTTTTTTCACATAGCTAAATCGGAGGCCGATCATTATCAGGCCCTGGTGTGCGAGCAGCCCGGCTGTACCTTGTTTTTCCCCCTGCAGGTGGTGTTGTGAGACAGCAGGCATCTCGGTACCCATGCGCCTCGTGACACAATAGCGCACCACCACAAACGTACCTGGGAACAGGCTCTCCGTTGCCCCCCTTATCATTCACATGTTCCCCTTTGGCTCAACTCCAGGCTGCTTGAACTCCTCACTATCCCCCAACCTGAAATTTGGTCTTCTATGGGCATCATATATCTCCACCAGGCAGTTACGTCTACTGGGCCCAAGCCATTCCAAACTTTAAAATATTTGACCCCCCTAACCATATGTTATTTAGATCTCTACAACTACGTCATGCCTTGAGGGCCCAATTTTCGAACCAGCTCCTCTACTTCAACCCCTATCTTTGATAGAAGTGGTGCTTGGGTCCAAAACTACCAAGCTGATTTCGGTTTTATACACCGCTGTCAGGAATGGACTCGCCAATGGTGGTGAGACTCACCTGCCTTGTGGGCTGCAGTACCAGGGCTGGCCAGCGGGGGTGCTCTTAGCAGCTAGAAGCTCACTCCTGCAATAAAGCCATCACCTGAGGCTGATTGCAGGAGGTGTATTTAAGGAATGGCCAGGCCTGCAGTCAGGGCCTTTATGTATTGTTCCCATGAGCCCCTGTACCTGCATCCTGTCTGATCCTGACTCTGCTTGAGCTCTGCCTGCACCGACATCGGCTACTCCTGACCAAGTTTCTGCCTACTCCTTGCACCTTGTCTGCCCGTTAGCTACCGACCCGGCCCGCCTGACTACGTTGTTCTCCATATTTATATATATATATATCAGTTAAGGTTTGGGTTTGTGCACCTTGTTGTACGTATTTGTGTTAGTTTTGGGTTTGGTTTGTTGCACTGCGTTTATGTTTGTGTTGCCCTTAATAAATTATATTGTTTTACACGCTATACCTGAAGTCTGTGTTTCCCTGTGTCGGTCCACACACCTCTGGTCATACCCGGAGCCCTGACAATTGTACACTTCCATAGTAACTAGTGTAGTGGAGGGGGCAAAATCCCACTGGGTGCCAGATATCAAGGCATTGGAAACAGAGATCTGGGATGAAATATTGGAGGGCACCAAGTTGGCTTCACTGAGACTCCCTGACAGACTTACTCAGCTTTATATAGTGCATCAAGCTTACCTTACCGCATTTCCGGTCTCTAGATTTTGCCCAGAGCAGAGCCCTCTTTGCCCCCGATTCCTCAGGGACCCTGGCACCTTTTTCCACCTTTATATGGTTCTGTCCAATTATCAGATGTACTGGGAACAAATCAAGTTCCTGCATGATCATATGGGCTCACCTTTACAACTAGATCCCAGAGTGTCTTCTTGATCTCCTCCCAGACCTGCCTGAGGACAAATTCCTTGTTATTCCCTTACGTGAATCCCTATTTAGTGCCCGAAAAATAAATCGCACGCCACAGGATGCAGACAACCATCTCCACCCTTCAGGCATGGTTAACTGAAGTCAATTCAACTCTTAAAAAAAGTGCTAATAAAGCTTCTTTTTTTCCTATTAAAATAATAAACATGGTATACTTACCTGCGTCGGTGCGAAACTGTTATATTTACCTGCGCCGGTGGAAAACCTGAGAAGACATTTCCTATGGGGGCACTTGTGCATGCTCGCTCCCAAACCACCCTGTTTGCATCTATTGACACAGCAGGATGGCTCGGCCCTGCCCCCCTGCTCCCTCGTCAAAGGATTTGATAAACAGCAGCTGAAGCCAATGGCTCCTCCCAGAGAGGAGGGACATAGCTGGGAGAACTTCTGCTCTCATGCACAGCGCTGGATCAGGAATGGGCTCAGGTAAGTATAAGGGGGTGGGGGATTCTGTTACGCAGAAGGTTTTTTTTTAAACCTTAAAGCTTTAGAACCACTTTAAATTTGTTTTATAAAGCTGCAAATAGTTAAAAACACACATATACCTGTCACCCATTCTTGCCGATGCTTTGTGTCAGATGCACTCATTTCATGGGTTTTTGTGGGAGTTTTAACGCAGAACATACATCGACGGCCATCTCTGTCAGGAAGTATCTAAGACAGAAAGATTGTATAGGTAGTACATATGTAGCCAACCCATTTCTTGAAAATGTATAATTTAGGAATTATGCAAGGTTAGTACTTCTTAATTTAAAGCAAAGAAACCCAACTAAAAACATTTCAATTGATAAAATAACATCTGTAAAAATTATATTCTATTCTGTGGTTGGTTAGTGTGGGTTATGCAAGTACGGATCATACCTGCTCTTATTATAAAAAGTCACATTAATGAGGACAGAGTAAACTTCTGTACCACATCAGGATTTCCCAAGATACTAGATTTCACTAAAAGAACATTGCGGAACTGGAGAAAGTACAGAGAAGGACAACCAAACTGATAAGAGGCATGGAAGAACTCCGCTATGAGGAAAGATTAAGGGAAATAAATTTATTCTCTCTTGAGAAGAGGAGATTAAAGGGGGATATGATCAACATGTATAAATACATCAGTGGTTCATATAGTGAACTTGGTGTAGAGTTATTCACCCTGAGGTCATCACAGAGAACAAGGGGGCACTCTTTACGTCTGGAGGAAAAGAAATTTAATCTCTAAACACGGAAAGGTTTTTTCACCATGAGAGCTGTTAAAATGTGGAATAGACTCCCTCAAGATTTGGTTCTGGCCAGTTCCGTGGATTGCTTTAAAGGAGGCCTGGATTCTTTCCTAGATACACAGACTATAATTGGATACTAACATTTATAGGTAAAGGGAATATCCGATTGCCTCTTGGGGGATCAGGAAGGAATTTTTTTTTCCCTGCAGGAGCAATTTGTGTCATGCTTTGCTGGGTTTTTTTGCCTTCCTCTAGATCAGCAGTTCTCAACCTGGGGGTCGCGACCCCTTTGGGGGTCGAACGACCATTTCACAGAGGTCGCCTAAGACCATCGGAAAACACATATTTCCGATGGTCTTAGGAACCGAGACACCGCTCCTCTGACTCAGGCGATGTGTGGGCGGGATGATACGCTGCCCCTGTCACCTGGCCACACCTCCGGGATCACTCAACAGCTCCGCCTCCTCGCCGCTGATTGGCCACCGGAAATGTAGCTCAGGAGAGGCACACAGGCGGCCAATCACCGGCGAGGAGGTGGAGCTTGGAGAGGAGGAGCCGAGCGGCAGCAGCGCGTACATCAAAGAAGATCGAGGGAGCTGCCGGAGTAAGTGAAGAGGAGAGCGGCCAGAGAAGGAAGACAGCTGACAGGTAAGTGAGAAGAGCGAGCCCAGGCTGGAGCAGGGGTCAGCAAGGTAAGTATCATTGGTGTCAGTGGGAGGAATAGTGCCCCATCATTTGTGTCACTAATACCAACGATGGGGCACTATTTCTCCCACACATACACCAAAACGATGGGGCACTATTCCTCCCCCCACTGACACCAACGATGGGGCACTATTCCTCCCCCCACTGACACCAACGATGGGGCACTATTCCTCCCCCCACTGACACCAACGATGGGGCACTATTCCTCCCCCCACTGACACCAACGATGGGACACTATTCCTCCCCCCCACTGACACCAACGATGGGGCACTATTCCTCCCCCCCACTGACACCAACGATGGGGCACTATTCTTCCCCCCACTGACACCAACGATGGGGCACTATTCCTCCCCCCACTGACACCAACGATGGGGCACTATTCCTCCCCCCACTGGGGCACTATTCCTCCCGACACCAACGAATGATGGGGCACTATTCCTCCCCCCCACCCACTACCGACACCAACAATGGGACACTATTTCCCCCCCCCCCACCGACACCAACGATGGGGCACTATTCCTCCCCCCACTGACACCAACGATGGACACTATGGGGCACTATTCCTCCCGCCCCCCCACTGACACCAACGAATGGGCCACTATTCCTCCCCCCACCGACACCAACGATGGGACACTATTTCCCCCCCCCCCAACCGACACCAACGATGGGGCACTATTCCCCCGCTGACACCAACGATGGGGCACTATTCCTCCCGCTGACACCAACGATGGGGCACTATTCCTCCCGCTGACACCAACGATGGGGCACTATTCCCCCGCTGACACCAACGATGGGGCACTATTCCCCCCGCTGACACCAACGATGGGGCACTATTCCCCCGCTGCTGACACCCAACGATGGGGCACTATTCCTCCCCCGCTGACACCAACGATGGGGCACTATTCCTCCCGCTGACACCAACGATGGGGCACTATTCCCCCCGCTGACACCAACGATGGGGCACTATTCCCCCCGCTGACACCAACGATGGGGCACTATTCCCCCCGCTGACACCAACGATGGGGCACTATTCCCCCCGCTGACACCAACGATGGGGCACTATTCCCCCCCGCTGACACCAACGATGGGGCACTATTCCCCCCAATGACACCAACGATGGGGCACAAACGATGGGGCACTATTCCTCCCAACGATGGGGCACTACCCCAACCATGATGGGCACTATTCCTCCCGCTGACACCAACGATGGGGCACTATTCCCCCCGCTGACACCAACGATGGGGCACTATTCCCCCCTGCTGACACCAACGATGGGGCACTATTCCCCCCGCTGACACCAACGATGGGGCACTATTCCCCCCGCTGACACCAACGATGGGGCACTATTCCCCCCGCTGACACCCCACGATGGGGCACTATTCCCCCCGCTGACACCAACGATGGGGCACTATTTCTCCCACTGACACCTCCAACGATGGGGCACTATTCCTCCCACTGACACCAACGATGGGACACTATTCATCCCACTGACATCAGTGATGGGGCACTACTCCTTCCCCACTGACACCAATGATGATGTGGCACTAGTCCTCCCACTGCAAAATTACAGTTATGAAGTAGCAACGAAAATAATTTTATGGTTGGGGGTCACCACAACATGAGGAACTGTATTAAGGGGTCGCGGCATTAGAAAGGTTGAGAACCACTGCTCTAGATCAACTGTGGGTATAGGATTATAACTTTTTTTTTTTTTTTATTCATTGAACTGGATGGACTTTTGTCTTTTTTCAGCCAGACTAACTATGTAACTAGGCGAACCAGAATTCCCCTGAGCACAGCTTTGGCTTTATATATGTACCAAATTAATTTGCTTGATCATTCGTGTACTTTTAGAAATTCGGTAAGGATGAGTGATACATCTACCTAAAGTTAAGGCAGGAACAAACTGTTGGGGTTATATCCATTTGGAATGGATATAACCTTTAATTGGATAATACGATAATGTGCTGTTATAGCCTAATGCTCAAACAACTCCCCAACCAACTATAATTTAGCCTTTTGGGAAGTCAGTGTGGTCAGACTAAAGAAAGGTGAACTGTGTGGCTGGTTTTATGAATAGTTACCACATGTACTTTTTTCTACTCATCTGATCAAGTTCATGAACCCAAGTGGCCCTGAGTAAAGGGAAGTGAAAAAGTAGATTATTTGGAGCAGGATCTTAAACTGAATCATTCTAGGAAACTAGTTCTGTGGTTACTCCTAAAAGAAGGAAAAGTAACCATGCAGTGATGCAGGTAAACATCAGCACATGCTGCAAACCTAATTGTCCCCTAATGCTGCACCTTCCCTGTATGTGTTCTGATGTAAAGGGAGGCTGATATCAAGTCAAATACAATACTTTATGCTAGTTACATTTAAAATTTAACATCTAACGATTTTAATGAAATTTTAACCAAATTAACTTGTGATTTTTTTTTTTATATTTGCTTGGGCTTTATTTTAAATTAGGGAAAATTTTAATTTTACAAATGTAAGATTTACATGATTGTCACTCATAAATAATTTTTGTACACAGCATTTCACATAGTCCTGAATGTTAATGTCCAAACCACAATATACAGCTCTACCACAATATTGTCCTTAAAGTGACTGTAGAGGTAATTCATAAAACAAACAAAAAACAAACATGTCATACTTACTTGAGCCCAGTCTCAATCCAGCAATGTGCATGAGAGCAGAGGCTCTCTCGGCTCTCTCCCTCCTCATTAGACAGAGAAGCAGCAGTGGGAGCCAGTGAGGAGGAGGGGGGATTCAGCAAAAGTCTGATAATTGGAGGAGAGAAGCACAGCCAGAAAACTGACCATATTGTGCTGTCTTGCCTAGTGTGGTCAATTGTTAGCAGGAAAGCAGAGGGACTGGCAGGAACACCAGGGATTTCACACAAAAAAAGAAATAAGAAAGAGAACAGGATACATTTTCATACAAGTACATGGGACAGGAATATGAAATGTTGGTTTACATATTCTTTAACTATTGTATGTAGAAAAAGGAAGTGTCCAAAGTACTATGTATACAATGCTGCCCCTGTTCAGTGAGAAATGCAGTAGGATCCTAACACTCATAACTAAAATGAGAAAAAAACAAGAAGTGGTAAAGGAAAAAAAGTGTTCTAAAATCAGCAATGGTTGAAGATGAAAGAATAAGCACAAAAATTGTGCCTACATACTGACCTGACCTCACACCACAATCTTTGTCTATAGCAATTGTGCCCTTTTTTTCTTTACATTCTTCGCTCACATAGTAGCAGAAAACATTAGGCTTTAGAACAAACCAACGCTCAGTCCATGTTCTTCTCAAATTAGCCTTCTTTAAAAGGTACCCCTGGAACAATATTCAAGACACAACCGAATGAATGGGCTCCATAAATAAAGAATAAAAGTTATAGGATTTAAACAAGAAGTCATATACAGTGTGCAGGTAAAAAGAAAAAGGGCAGAAAAACCTTATAACAAGAATATAAGTGTAAAACTATTCTTCTATACATTAGATGGCTCCAGCATCCCTGGATCAACTTTACCTATAAATCCAGTTAAATTATGTGTTTCTAGGAAAGAATCCAGGCCTTTTTAAAAACAAACTACTGGCCAGAACCAGCTCTTGAGGGAGTCTATTACACTTTTTTACAGCTCTGACTGTGAAGAAGCCTTTCCATATTTTGAGGTTAAATCTCTTTTCTTTTTAGGCATAAAGAGTGCCCCCTTGTCCTCTGTGACCTTAAAGTGAATAACTCTAACCCTCTCTGCCTGTTTAATCAGTTTGTGGCCAAAGGCTCTCAATTGCCATCGCTGTCTTGACAAGCTCTGCGAGATCCTGAACCTGGCTGGTCTGCTCCTCTGGAGCATTCCTGGATCGAGACATCCCCTCTAACTTATCTTACTGAGCCAATGTTACCAGTCTAGGACTGTTCCATCTCATTTCCCCAGGGACATTTGGACTAGAGGTGCAAGGGAGGTCCCCTTGTGACTTCTGTCTCCAGCAAGTTATTTCCACCCCCTTCCCCTAATTCGCCTTTCTCCCCTTTCCCTCTCTCTCTTATCTGTCTCCACTCCCTCTCTCTCTTTCTTAACCTGTGTTCTCTCTCATTCAGTTTTCCTATTTCCCTCCCTCTCCCCCCCTTTCCCTCACACATTAAAAGCCCTGTCTAAATGCTCATTTGCATATTCACCCACTACACAAAGGCTGCTCAACTATATGGCTACTTGCTCTCAATCAACAACTGCCCTGTTGGGTTTTCCTTGCTCAAACAGCACCACAGGCTATAGTCTGTGGCGCTAATCAGTGTATTCTGTTGGCAGGGGAGTTTCCCCAATATCGGAATACAATAGCTCAGCGGGAAGATTCCACTATCCACCCCAAATGTGTGGTAAGCTTTTTTGAACTAAAGAACTGACTCATCTATGGGCTGCCTTATACACCTGTGATTGGACACACATGGGCTAAATGCCTAGTGTGTAAGTAGCATACCAATTTCACTAACAGCAGGGAAAAAGACAGCAAAATAGATTGCTTTCAGGCACACATATTGGGCACATTTTATCAAAATCTCCACGGATAAAGAACCATGTCTCCATGTTGATATGGACAAGGGTCTCATCGCCACCACCCTGGGAAGTTGTGGGGGTGTGGGGTGATCATAATCTAGAAGCTCTCTTTAACAAAAGGCCCCCCAGATCCCAACCCCACTGTGAATGAGTATGGGATACACAGTACCCCTGCTCATTCGCCCAAATGGCCAAAGTAAATAAGAACCTGGGGCCAGTTTTTGGCAAGTCCTTTGTAAAAAAAAAAAAAAAAAAAAAAAAAAAAAAAAAAAAAAAAAAAAATTGTCCCCTGCACGAAAAAAAAACGCCCCAAAAAACGGTCTGCACCTGACGCTTGGCTCCCGTCAACTGACAGCTCCACTACCCACTTGCCACTAAATAACTAAGGGGTGTGGCCACCCGGCGAACATCACTGGATGACCCTCCCATGGTGACATCATTGACTGGGACATGCTGGGAGACAACCTAGGGGACATCACATGGAATGTTTAGAAAAGTGAGAAAAGTAATTTGGAAATTGTTTGTTTATAAGCCCTGTGATGGAATTATATTTCTGGTAAGAGTATCCTGGCACAAAAGAGATAGTGAGCATGGTGGAGAGTGGAATTTCTTTTGGGGCACTGTGAACCACAATTTTATGTGAGCGAATTATATTTAATTTGCACATAATATGTGTATGGAAGAACATACTACACTATAGAAGATTTTTGTTTGTCTGTTTATTCATGCTGTGGTAGACTACAAACACATATCAATCTGTGGGAGATTATTCGGCTCGATGATGATAGGGTGATAAATTCTGGTAAGTGCAGATCTGCATGCCGGATAGGATACATGAGGGAGATGGTGTGTGGTAATGACATGCAAATCATGTAAGCGCAATTATGATTTGATATGTCAGGTGTGTTTTATGGCATACTACACTATAAATTTTTTGTTACACTTCTCAGAGCTTGAGCATGTGGAACAGAGAAATACAGACCACATGGAGGATTCTTACATCTGGAGGTGTTTTTTGAGCCTGATATAACCTGTTCACATGTGTAGGGTCAAGGAAATTTGATGAGAGTTTATGATTTTATGGGGAGGAGGAAGATGGTAGTACATTGAAACACCTTGTGTTTTGATTATAAAGGACTTTTGTCACTGACAATTTAAAGTGATATTAAAGCTTCTTTTTTTTCCCTATTAATATAATAAACATGTCATATGCACCTGCGCTGTGCAATGGTTTTACACAGAGCAGCCCTGATCCTCCTCTTGCCGGTTCTCCCTTGGTGCTCCTGGCCCCTACTTTTTTGGTGAGTGCTCCCTTAGGAAGGAGCTTCCTATGGGGGCATTCGTGCAGACTCACTCCTTAGCCACCCTGTCTGTGTCTATTGACAGATAGAAAAGCTCAGCCCCGCCCTCACTCTCTGTTCTCATAGGATTAGACTGACAGCAGCCAATGGCTCTTGCTGCTATCAGTCTACCCAGAGAAGAGGGGCATAGCAGGGAGAGTCTCTGCTCTCATGCACAGTGCTGGCTTGTGAATAGGCTCAGGTAAGTATAAGGGGGAAGGGGATTCTGTTACACAGGTTTTTTTTTACCTAAATACATAGAATGCATAATTACATAGTTACATCGTTAGTCTGGCTGAAAAAAGACAAAAGTCCGTCCAGTTCAACCATTAAAAAAAAAAAAAAAAAAATTTTTTAACCTACACCCACAGTTGATCCAGAGGAAGGCAAAAAAAAAAAAACCCCAGCAAAGCATGATACAATTTGCTCCTGCAGGGGAAAAAATTCCTTCCTAATCCCCCGAGAGGCAATCAGATATTCCCTGGATCAACTTTACCTATAAATGTTAGTATCCAGTTATATTCTGTGTATCTAAGAAAGAATCCAGGTCTTTTTTAAAGCCATCCACTGAGCTGGCCAGAACCAACTCTTGAGGGAATCTATTCCACATTTTCACAGCTCTTACTGTGAAAAAAACCCTTTTTCTGTGTTTAGAGATTAAATTTCTTTTCCTCCAGACATAAAGAGCGCCCCCTTGTCCTCTGTGATGACCTCAGGGTGAATAACTGTACACCGAGTTCACTATATGAACCATTGATGTTTTTATACATGTCCTCTTCTCAAGAGAAAATAAATTCAGTTCCTATAATCTTTCCTCATAGCTGAGCTCCTCCAATGCCTCTTATCAGTTTGGTTGCCCTTCTCTGTACTTTCTCCAGTTCCCCAATGATCTTTTTGTGAATTGGTGCCCAAAATTGAACTGCATATTCCAGATGAGGTGTTACTAATAATTTGTACAGGGGTAGAATGATATCTCTCTCTCTGGAGTCTATACCTCTTTTAATAAAAGAGAGGATTTTCCTTGCTTTAGAAACCGCAGCTTGGCATTGCATGCCATTATTAAGCTTGTGATCTACCACAACTCCCAGATCCTTCTCCACCATTGATTCCTCCAGTTGTACTCCCCCTAGTATGTATGATGCATGTATATTCGTAGCCCTTAAGCACATAACCTTACATTTATCAACATTAACCGTTTTCCACCTGGCCACTGCACAAAAATGGCCAGGTGGGAGCTTCGCCGTTCTGGGTGGGTCGACCTCAGGAACGTCCTTCAAAAACGTACAGCTGCATGCTCTCGTTGTGCCTGTGTCTTTTGGAGACAGCACAACACTACTTGGTAGAAGGGCCCTCTGATTGGCCTTCTGACCACATGATGGCGTCCAATCACAGCCGTCATGTGATGTCAACAAAGACGCCATTCAGTTGAACGGCTCTGCCTCTTCCTCACACACAGCCTATGAGTGAGGAGAAGCATAGTTGATCTGTGAGTACACACAAGTACATCGCCTCCACATCTGTCACAGTATGATCCACATCTGTCACAGTGCCAGTGGTCCACATCTATCAAAGTACAGTGATCCAAATCTGTGATTCACATCTCTCACAGTACCCGTGATCCACATCTGTCACAGTGTCAGTGATCTACATCTGTCACAGCACCCGTAATCCACATCTGTCATAGTACCAGTGATCCACATCTGTGATCCACATCTGTCACAGTACCCATGCTCCACATCTGTTACAGTACCCATGCTCCACATCTGTCACAATACCAGTGATCAACATCTGTCACACAGTATCAGTGATCAACATCCGTCACAGTGTACCACTGGTCATCCACATCTGTACCAGTGATCCACAACTGTCATGGTGTACCAGTGTAAAATTCACATCTGTACCTGTGATCAACATCTGTCACTGCCTACCAGGGTCAAATCCACATCTGTCACAGTTTGCCAGTGCTCAATGTCTCTCACAGTGCACCAGTGTCAAATCAACATCTGTACCAGTGATAAACATCTGTACCAATGAGCATCAAAATGTCTAACAAATTATACACCAGCGAGGAGGCTTTCCAGATACTGAGTATGACGGATGAGAGTAGCGGGGAACTCTCATTGTCAGACTCAGATTCTGAGTATGAGCCAATTTAAAGCAGTGGGTCAGCAACGGATTCTGAGGAGAAGAGAGTCCAAACAGGTTCAGGAGATCTGAGGAGCAGGCATCCACCAGTAGCGCAGCGGGGAGTACAAGCAGCTCAGCACTCCCAGAAGATATGCAGACATCCAAGGGTAATTCCATTGGCCTGGTGCTTCAGGGCCTTCAACACTGTGATAGGTAATCAGGAAATAAGATGTGTAATTTTTGCCTCGAGAACGCCTGTAGGTCCTACTTGGATGTTAGGCCTCTGTATGTGGCCAGACTGTGGAAATGTCTT